AAAATAAACTGTTATTCTTTTTATTTTTATAATATAAATAAACACTTAAGTGTCATGTAAACGCAATTTGTTATTGCAGTCATATAACTTTACTAGCATTAATTCACGTTATGGAGGGTATGCAGATACTTTTGTCCACCCTCTGTAGGAACTCATATCTTACAAAATGAGTTAGAGGTGCTGATCTATATATATATAACTTAAATTAGAGTTTGCATAGAGTTTATATATAAATTTTGACGAAAATTACATATTTTAAGATCTTAATATTATTAGAATCATCTTGATAAAAGAAATCTAATGATAGTAAAATTATATTTTTTTAGTATTGATATTAATTGAAATTATTATAAAACACATTTTACTATATGATATTTGTAAGTTAAATGAGAGATATTTAAGATTCTGATTGTATTAAGTATTATATTTTTATTTTAAAAATATTATAATTTTAATTTTATATATAAATAGTCAATAGAAAAAAAGAAAATCTACAAATTTTGAGTAATTTTAGTTATTAAGCTAGTTTTATTACATGATCATGATCAGTAAAGTAAACCAATAAAAAAATTTTTAACTAAAAAGTGGATTTTTCTCCTTTCTACTGACTGTCTCTCATATATATACAGATTTATATATAACATGATTATTGTAAATTTTAACTATAGTCATTTATCAACTTATCAAGTTTGGTTTTGATCTTTTCTTAAATTTAAAATTTTATATATTTTTGAATAGAATTTTATAAAGAACTACTTACATAATGTGTTTGATCATGCTATTACATATGCAATTTAAGCTTGAAATGAAATTATCTATCTAAATAATAAAATTAACAATAAAAAATATCACCTTCATTTTCAAAGAAAAAAGTATAATATAAAAAATATTTAATAGTTATATAAATATGATATTGTATAATGCATTGTTATTAATATTAATTTTTTATTATTTTTTTATAAAATAGGATAATCAACAAACAATTACTAATATTATCATGAATCACTTAAATTCTATATCTATCTTTTATATAATAAAAAATTATCAAATTAATAAATTATTATAAAGATAACAATTCTCTTTTTTTTTGTTATATTATGAACATCATTAAAAAAACCATAAATAGCCAAATTTGAAAAGTAAGATTGTAATGGATTCAAAGTTAACATTTAATAAAAATCAAATTATTAGATATTTGTTTAGATATATGATATTTAACTTTTTTCTATAAATTTAAATATAATTACTATTAATTTATCTTTTATTTTATAATAGGTAAAAATGTTAAAAATTATGATAATATTTAAATCACTAAAAATCTTAATGTTATTACTATTAATCCTAATGTTTATACTGGTTGGTCTTGATAATCTCTATCCAAAAGAAGTGTTTAATTTAGTAACTTAGATATTAATCGTATAATCTATTTGTCTTTATCTTTAGATAATCTTATTTTTTGGTATATTTTTTTATATACTGTATATTTTTATTCTTTATAAATTTCTTAATTATTTATATTTGTAAAACTACTTATACTCCTTCTAAAAAGAAAATATTCAATGAAAAGAAATTAGATCTATTTATGGCTTTGCATTCAAAACCTTATTAATGAATATCATAAAAAAGTTGCCTTGTGATTTCTTTTAAACTTTGATATTATTATTATATCCTTTTAATGGATCTGTTATATCTCATCATCTTACTAGAAAAATCAATTCAAAAACAGTTTGCAAAATGCTTATCTGGACTCACAGTTGATTTTGTGATCATCTTGTTTTCAAGGCTGAAGAATTAGGTAGAAAGACTATTATTCAAAATGAAATATATACAAGTAAAACTTGTAGGTTGTTTATTTTCTTTCACATTTATTTTATTTTTTCAACATTTTTAATATCTATTTGCTTTATGCAGTTGTTGTAGATTTGGTGGCAATAAATTGTTTAAATGTAATAAATGTGAAATAGTATTGGATAGTGATATTAATAGTGCTTGGGAAATTTTTCTTTGGACTTTGCTTGATGGGACTGTTTATGTATAATGAATTCACTATATGCATACACTAATTGATTGTTTTATATATAGTAATATATATTAATGATCGATGACTGAAATTGATTTTCATCTGGAGTTGGAATTCAGACGATCTTTGAGTGTCTGAAATTGAGATTCAAAGATCAGTGTAACTATTTTAATTTCAGTTAAATTCTAATTTCAGATACGAGAGCATCTGAAATTGGGATATCTGAAATTGAGCTTCAGATAAAATCTGAATTTCAGACACGAGGCCGTCTGAAATTAGGATATCTGAAATAAAACTTCAGATAAAATCTGAATTTCAGATACAAGGCCGTCTGAAATTGAGATATCTGAAATTAAACTTCAGAAAGAATCTGGATTTCAGATACAAGGCCATCTGAAATTAAGATATCTGAAATTGAACTTCAGATAAAATCTGAATTTTATACAAATTATGTATTTATAAATTAAAATTAAAGTAATATGAAGAATCTTTTATCTATACATAAACAATTTATTTTATTTAATAAAATTTTTATAATTTTTAAATGTTTCTTTATTTATTTTTTATTACACTATTATAATAAAAAAAAAATTACTCTATAATTAAAATTTGAAAATTATTTATAAAAAGTTTAAGTAATTTTCATTTTAAAATTCGTCTTCAGCTTCAAAATCGAATGATTATACAGATAACTCGTCTCGTAAAGATAGGAGTTCCCTTTCTATTTGCTTTCTGCTGTTTTAAAAGAAAGTGAATGTATTTTAACATGTTCTTTTAATTGAATGATTATTTTTGCTTTTTCAGGTTTGAACGCTTCGGTCTAAAGTTTTAAAAAAAAAACCTGAAAAAATAGATGAAAACGAAAATGAATAAAATCACTTATTTAACTGATGCAGCACCAGAATAAACTTTAAAAAAAAAAGAATACTTATTTGCCAAAAATTGAATAAAAATAAAATCGAAATTAAAAACATTAAAAAAAAATAAATAATAAAAATAAAAAATGAAAATAACATTAAAAAAAAAAAAATAAAATAAAAAATACAAATATTGGAAATTAATACTACAAAATTTAATAAATAAATGCTGCGAAATTTAATTATAATTTAGCTAAAAGCTAAAGTCCGAAAATAAAAATTTTAAGTTAACTGTATTTACGAAATTGTAAAAAAAAAAAAAATTGGCATATTTTGATTGGTTAAAATAAAAGGGTGTCTGAAATTGGAATTCCAATTTCAATTTCAGACACCCGAAGATCGTCTGAATTCCAACTTTAGACGAAAATAAATTTCAGTCACAACAACATGAAATGAAATTGAATTTTAAATATAGATGTGGGCAAATCTCAAAAATGGGTCTCCTCGTGTACGAAAAAGTGGATATACCGACTTCTACTTCGGTTGAAAAGGTTAAAAAATATCACAGAACTTATCTCATCTTTTGCGGGGAAAAAGACTTTAGGGCTTGATGAAGACGATGAAAAAATTATTCGTGATGAAAAGATTTAATGGTCAGGATTTTCTTGACTTGACCCAAGACGAGCTTGAACGCCATGGAATGAAATTGGGGCCGGCAAATAGACTCGTAAAGTTCGCTAAAGGCTAGGTAAGTAAAAAATTGAAATATTGTTTATTACTAATCTCTTTGAAAATATGAGGTAATATTGTTTTATTTTCTTCTTTTAGTTTTTCGTTCATTTTTTTTTGCTTCCGGGCTCTTTGAAATATTGCTCCCTTTTCTTATTTAGGTTCGTTCTCTTTCAGGTTGGAGAGTATGAGGTAGGTAATTATTTTTAATTTAAAATTTTTTTTTTATCTTATTTAACAGAGAAAAGTTGTAGCGGTGACGGTGGACGTTTCAGGCCTCACTAGTTACTAAAATAAAAAAGAATTGATAAAATGGTGACGGCACGATTCACATGATCGGTAGGATTGTTCCAATTTATTAACGTATCAGAGTGTCAAACCATTCATCTATTTTTCGCTCGTATGTAATAGCGCGTAATAATTTCATTCATCATATATCGGTGATACAAAATTAAGTACAAAAAAAAGGCATAAGCGTGGGACATATTCATCAGAAATTCCTAAAACGTATCCCGAGAACGTATATTGTGGAAATTTTAGAGTTAAAAAAATGTGTCTTGTCTCAAAAGACCAAGATTGTCTGTAAAAAATTTCTTAAACGTGATTGAAATTGTGCATCAGCTTACGGTTAACGATTTATATGTGCAAATTATAAACCAAGTTTTATTTAATATAATTTTCTTAGCATGTATTCTTTCCTAGCGTTAAAATTACTATACATTATTTGTTTGTAATGGAAACATTCATATTATAATGGTTTAAGTGATAATTTAAATCAACCAATAATTTATACTTGAAAATAATAACGCCACTCCAAACAATACACCCATCATATTCAATCCACGCGAACTTTTGCGGTAAACTGATAATTCTGTTTAAAAGTACAGTACATAAAACAAGTTGTTAATACAATTAAAAGTCTTACAATATAACTAGATTATTACCTTCAGGAATTTCCAATACATCTTGTTCAAATGAATGAAGGTTGGGATTATTACATATCTCTTCATCATCTATAATTTCAGCCAAAATTATTACTTTATAACGGAATTAAACAAACATCGTCAAATAAATATGCCTCTCACCATCAAACGCAATATTATTTCTTCGTACATATTGGGATCTAATTTCATTCTTAATATATACTTTAATTATAAAAGTTTAAGTCATAATATTATTTATTATGATAAAACAAAGAATTTCAATTAAACATTATTAATTTAAATAAATAATCACTCTTGTTATTGTTTGATTTCATTTCGTGCAAGTTAATGGTAAAATCACTTTTTTCGTCCACTATTTTATCATTCGAATTATTAAAATAACTTCTATCGGATCTGCCCTTCGTTTCATTATTTTTATCTGTAAAATTTAAACATTAAATTATTAACGATAAGTCAGTAAAAAGTTTTAATTATTAAGATTACCGATAAATCTTGTCAAGCCATTTTTTCCGAACCGCTTTTCAATAACTTTGATTTTTCATAATGAAGTTAATTAATAATTTTGAATTTATTCATTCTTATCAAACTTTAATCATGAATTAATTTATATTTACAATCAGGAATAAACAAATCATTTTGCATGCTATGATAACCTAAAAAAAATGTGTAGAATTTTAAAATTTAAATGCAAATGAAAATGTACATTCACGTAAATGAAAATTAACGATTACCTTCTTGTTCTTCTATTTAAATAATGGAAAACGCGATATAAATTAATACATAATTATTATGAGGCATTTTTAACGTTCTACCTTACCTTTAGTTGCATTTCTAGGTTTAGGCATATCCTTAAAATGATAATTTCTGCTGTCGGAATTCTTGGCCAATGAATTAATAATCGAGTTTGTGTGTAACCGTGAATCATCATCAATACTAATTTTACGACATTCCAATTTTTCATCTGGTTTAAAAGTTTGTTTAATTTCCAAAATTTTATCCAATAGAGTATTTATGTCGGGTCGTTTCGAAGTTTCGGCATCCCAACATTGTTCCATCAATTTTCTATATTTTAAAGGAGTTCCTGGTACAATTTTTGGTCTCATTCCATTTATTATCCTCATCGCGAGATCAAAATCATGATCTTGATTAATAAAAGGGGGTAATCCGGATGAAATTTCCCACATTAGTATGCCAACACTATAAATATCGGAAGCAAAAGAATAATCCTTTCCAGAAATAACTTCGGGTGCTATGTATGGAAGATTTCCGTAGATACTGTCCAATGGTTTATCGGCGGGTCCACAAAATCCAAGGTCACAAATATACCATAAATTATAAGATTTTAAATATAAGATATTTCCGGAATGCAAATCTCTATGAATCGCATTTTCTTGGTGAATGTCTAAAAGTGCATTGATTATATTTACATTAAGTTGAATTCTTTCCTTCCATGTAAGTTGATGTTGATCTTGTAACAGATATTTTCTAAGATCTATGTCCATTTGCCTTATAACGAGCATGTAAAAGTTGTCTGATAAATTTTGCGTCAGACCAAAACATTTCACAATTAATTCCCGTTTGCTACTTATGGTTAAATGTGATACGACCTAATAATATAATTTTTATTAAAAAAAAAAAAAAAAAAAAAATTATTATGCCGCCAAAAAAATCGATCTGCAATTTTGACATTTTTTTTTAAAAAAAAATTACAAACCTCATCAAACCAAATGTTATTAACGGTTTGAACACTTTCTAATTTCTTAAGTATAACCCTGCAGGCTCCATACCTTTCGAATCTAATATTTTTAGAATTCCACTTGTTATAAAATCCATTACTCCAGACTGCAGAATATATTTCTGAACAACCACCCTTAGTCAAATACCTAATGTCCTTCAAATCATTGTACGGAATCCATTCTACTATCTTACACGGTATAAGCGATTCCATTTGACATTTTTGAATTAAATAATCAATTTCAAAATTACCAGATGTCCAGTTGGGAAAATCCGATTTTAAATAAGTTCGTATACAAAGCTCACAATACGACGTGGCTAAGCATTCCTTGTGACAATTATCACAGGTTCTTCTCGTTCCTTCATTATGGAGGATTTTATAATACTCGTAATATTTGGTCAATAGCTCTATCGCCTCTGATTTTTCGTCCTTAGTGAGAGCTTTATCAGTAAGTACGGTTTGTTTCCTAAATTCGTGTTGTTTATGTACGTCGTGAACGTCAACATTTTCTACAAGGACAAATTCTCTATGAATTATATTACAAATTAAGTCCATAATGTAAAGCATGTATTTTATTTTTTAATTTTAATTTTTGAGAGGCACCCATGTTCGAACATGGTTTATATAAAGAATCCCTAGTTTTAAAATTAAGTTTATCATTGATGCTTAATAAAACAAGTTAATTTCCTTTTTTGATTATCATTCCATGTTTTTCTTTTTGTAAAATAAATCAGATAAATCATGTTAGTCTAATATCAAAATGGATAAAATTTTTATGATTGTTTTCAAAGTAGGCAATCAGTGAAACTAATGGTTTTAGTGCATCGATTACAATTGGTTTACACTCAGACAGATCTTGAATCACTTCAAAATTAGAAAAGCAAAAGACGATACGTGATGCAAGTAATAAATGATGTATGAAGTCAAAGATATTTCAAAAGTGTACAAATTATTAATATTCTTTGCGATTACCTTTCAAAATTTTTATTTATTTATTTATTTATTTATTTTTTGTTCTTATCTTTATTAATTACGGTGTCACAAAGATAGCTGTGTTCACCTTCTAAGGGCTCAACTGATTCTCACACGTTCCAAACATTCCGACAAGAAATGTTCGAAGCAAATATTCGAAGCAAAATACAGTAAATAAAATTAGATTAGATTAGATTACCATATTTGGTTGGAAACTTCAAAAAAAAGAAGTCGTCGATAAAGAGCATCTAGAAGTTGTGAAAAGCGCGCTTCAATTATTGAAAATTAAATTATTTAAAATTATTTAATTAATATTAATTTATTACATGTTTCCGGTAGATCAGAGAAAGTAATATGGACTTTTCGGAATCGATTTTACCGACGAACGCTAGTTAAATAAAGATTAAAGGAATGAATGGATCGATGTGATCAACATTTATTTTTTTTGATTTCTTAATATAGTAATAGGTTTATCAAATAATTATGAAAACATGAATTACGACTTTATGATTGGTTCAAGATTTCCAAGATGTGCATTCATAAATTTTGTTGGGTGGTTTCTGGAATCCCCATTTTCATAACAATGACATCTTATTTATTTGAAGCTCCAAGTCATTTTAGCGTCGATCTTATAAATTAACATCTACCGATTTTGGGATGCAAACGTTAAATTCTGGAAGAAATACCGAAATTTCGGAAAATTTTTTTCTCATCAACTATAGAATTATCAATCATTGAACAAAAAACATATCAATGGATCTTTCAAAACACAATACGTTGAGGATTTTGATTCAATTATTATTTGCTGTAAATTGCCAAATGGTACGTTTTACCAGCCCAGAGAATGCGCCATATTGCTACATTTATTATGATTAAGAAGGAAATTGGATATCAAAGAAGGAAATATAATTGTTTCGCTATTTAAATCGCATAGTAGATGATTTTAATAGTAAACCGACCATATTTTTTGTGATTCAACTATAACAGATAAGAAATTATTTGATGGTTCAATACGTTTAATGAAATGATCTATTCTTCAATTTCAATGATTAACAGTTAATGTTATCGTCAGAATATTTCAGTAGCTATTTCTGATTCATTCAATTCAGGGTAGTGTTAAATATAATTCCGCCCGTAACATCGTAATTTTCGCTTGTAGATTATTTTCGATAATTTAGTTAGTCCTTTGTAGACAGAAGCCAGCTGATAGGATGATAGCAACAGGCCGTTCTAATTATTTTTTTTTATATACTGTATATATGTGTTGGAAATCCTTAAACAACTCAACATACCACGGTCGCCTTTTTTATTTTTAAACCCTTCCTTTCTTCCTTTGCGACATATTCGCTTTCGTCATTTCAACCTCATAATTATAACCGTTTATTTAATTATTTTTTCTTATTTTTTATTTTTTTACTTTTTATTTGCGTAATTTTAATTAATTAGTATTGTTAGTGATTAGCATTTATTAAGTTTAATAAATTGACATCGCGAAAGTGTAGAGATGAATTGATAAATTCATCGTCATATTTACTTGTTTTATTAATTAAATCCTCAAAAGTAAACAGAGGATTTGGTGTAATGTGAGCAGGTCACATAATTTGTTAATTCACAAACGTATAAAAAGTTAAAAGTAACAGGCGGGTGGGAAAGGTGATAATAAAGTATTTTTTTGCACACTTTTATGAAATTCAAAGTGAATATAATAAAAGATTTTTAATTTCTCATTAATTATTATTATTAAATACACATTTAAAAAAGAATAAAATTCTGCAAGATATTGTATACAGTCGTCACTGGTTATAACAAACCTGTTTATACTGAAAACTTATAATATCGAACCAAGTGGTGCAGAACCAATTTTTTTATAATTAATTGCACTGGATATAATGAAATTATATAGTAAATTGTCATATACCGCATCCAAACTCATGTTGGCCAAACCAAATATATTAGCCACATATTTGATATACCGAACGATCACATGACTTAAATTAAAATATAAAATTATCATAACATGAATAATCTTTTTTCATCAGAACACAGAACTTTTGTTTAAAGAACTCCAATATCATGTCAAGAAATTGGATTATTCTTTAAGCTGCATAAAAACGTGAAATTAAAGAAAAAAATCTAAGTCTTTCTAATATTGAATTTGCATACCAAGGTGCTTGCAATTTGTATTTTATTAATAATATAAATGCTAATACTTATATTACTAATATGATCATACGTCTTAATTTTATTTGGTACCAAACAGTTTAGTATATAGATTGAGCATCATATAATAAACTCATTCTATACTGAACCAAATCCTATAAAACTGAGGGTTCGTTATCAGTGATGACTGTAATTATATCTTTTAATTATTATATAAATTACTATTTAATGTAACTTTAAAAATGTAATAAAATTTAAAAAAAATAATAATTGTTTAAAATTTAATAAAATAATATACTTTTATAAATACTTTTATTTGATATTTTTTTTATTTTTATAAAGTGTGATACATTTATTTTAATAAATTGATCTACAATTAGTCAAATTCATAATATGATACAGTAAAAATTTTTTCAACTAACAAGGTTAAATCTGTTTTTAATAATCCAAATTTTACAAAATTTAGCTTATTTTAAGCTTTTAATATTCTAAATCTGATGAGCATAGTTTGACAATTTTCTGACTAATCAGTTGTATATTCATGGACAATTAACAATCATTTATACTAAATTTTTCATTTTAAGATTCTATATGTGTAACTTCATCTTTTTACATAACAATAGGCAATTTTTTTATTTTCTTTAAGTAATCAATCCTTAATATTATTAGAAAATTAATTCAAAACTCGCTTCCTTTAAAATTGATTTTAAATCTGCTTAAGATCTCTTTTGATACAAATAATTAAAAATTTTACTAACTCTCAAAGTTATTTTAGCATTTTGTGATCCAATTTTAATGAATTTTGACTTATTTTGAATCTTGCTTAGAACTAAATTTAATTTTTTTAAATTGGAATTTATATAACTATTAGATCACATAATCACTTCATATCAAGGATTTGAAAATTTATAGCTTAAATTATTGATTTTGAATACTTATATATGTTTCTTACATATCAACATATAGTTTTCTCACTTCTCTTAGATTTTCAGATAGTAAAATTAGTATTTAGCATTATTACTTTTAAATGATTTCTTTTCCTTCAGTTCTGAAATTTAAACCTGTTTGAGATTCTTTTATGATGAATCTCAAAATAATTGCTTTTCATTTTTCACAAATATTTTTGAATCTAATGATTAGATTTTAACAAATTTAGGCTTATTTGAAAGTTTAAAATCTAATATAACTAAAGCTCTGAACAGGTCAGTTCAGGTCAAGTCAATCAAGTTACCTGATTTGACCCAATCTGATCAAATTATAAAACATTATTTTTGAATGATAAAACCATTATTTTTAAATGATAAATCATCATTCTTAAACAATAAATCTCATTCTTGAATGATAAATTATCATTCAAGCATGATAAAATCATTGTTCTCAAATGATAACAAATCATTTTAATTGAATGATAAAGCATCATTCTTGAATGATAAAACCATCTTCTCAAATGATAAAACTATCATTCAAGAATGATAAAATCATTGTTTAAGAATAATAAAATCATTGTTCAAAAATGATAATAAATCTTTTTAATTGAATGATAAAACATCATTCTCAAGCGATAAAACTATCATTTTTAAATGATAAAATTATCATTATCAAACAATAATGAATCGTTCTAATTAAATGATAAAATATCATTTATGAATGATAAATTTATCATTCTAATTGAATGTTAGAACATCATTCTTAAATGATAATGGATCATTCTAATTGAATGATAAAATATCATTTTTGAATGATAAAATTATCTTAAATGATAAATCATCATTTTTAAATAATAAAATCATCATTCTCAAATGATAATAAATTGTTCTAATTGAATGATAAAATATCATTCTCAAATGATAAAACTATCATTCTTGAATAGCATAGTTAAAATTCACAATTATTGGTTAATTCACGTGACACATGATCAATTTAAATAATCGACATTTATATTGTTATTGTTACTTTAAAAAAAAGAAATATATCATTCATATAAAACTCACGCAACTTCTCTAAATAACATATATTGAAATTTCGTACATATATTCTTCAAACCTTACTTTATTAAGATCCCAAAATAGAGTAAACTTCTATTAATAATAATGGTAAAGGATAGACCTCGTAAAAATATAGGACCGTGTGTAATTTGTAGCAATAACAATGTTAATGAAAAATTTTGACAATTGACGTCAAATTTACTTCAAAAGGTCTTAAAAGGCTTTGAATTTCAAAATCTGGCTATAGAACTTAAGCTATATGATCAACTTTGTGAAAAACACTATAATGAATTAGTTGTATTTGATAGAAATATTTCAAAATCAAGTAAAAAACTAACAAATGAGAGAGATTCAGTATATAATGATAGAGGCAATAAGGTAAAGCAGGTTTGTTTATTACAAGAAACATATGAAAATTTGTTAAATAATGTTTCAAGTATAGAACAACTTGAACAAGAAGTATTAGAGTTGAGAGTAAAAGTAAATGATTATATGCGCAACTCTGAGAAAAATAATAGTATTTAATTTATTTTATATTATTTAAAATATTTATAATTTTACTAATTGCATTATTATACTTGTTGATATAGATTTTAGACGATTTTTAGAATATTTTAATGATCAAATAATATGAATGACTAATGTTATTTGTCAAGACCATCGAAAGGAAAATTTACCAAAGTTGAATGCAACAGAATTTATCAAATTTATAGAAAGTCATGATTCTAAGCTTCAGGGATTTTTTGACATTTTATTTAGGGCAATGAATCCTAAAGAAAAAAAACAAAAAAACTCAAGAATCTTTAAAATAAAAGGTTATGGTATTTTGCTATCAAATAGCAGGATTACGAAATAAACAAGTGAGCAGAACTAAATCTACTATTGGATTATTCTTAGTAGAATCTGGGGCTTTTGCATATTGTGTAAATACTGTAGCTAAGATAGGATTTAGTATAACATATCAAACATCTTTCAACCGACTTGATAAAATTGAAAAAGAACATCAATCTGGTATACAAACTTATATTCAAAATTTTGTAAGATTATAATATTTTCATAAATATTTTTATTTTAAAAAAATTAAGTATTTTTTATTTTAAAAAAATTAAGTATTTTTTATTTTAAAAAAATTAAGTATTTTTTTTTTTAAAAAAAAAATTAATTAAATTTTTAATAAAAAAATAAATTGAAAATTTAGTTTAATAATATAATAATCGCATGTGTTGATGATTACCATAATATACATGGAACTCGTATCCCATCTACAAACTCCACTTCGCATATAGCTCACATGGCAACTATATTATTTAACACCACCCAAACTTTACCGATTCCTTACTATTCTAATAGTAATTCTCCTATCCATAATCCTTGTGGCATTGACGCTTTACTTCTTAAAAAAATGTGTAAAGAACAAATGATAACTTTAGCTAATAGTTACAATTCAATAAAATCAAACTGGAATTTGGCATATTTGATTAATGGTAATACAGACCTAATTGAAAATTTGACGATTCATTCTTATGATGCAGACATTTCAGAAAAATACCACCAAAAATTCGATCAAACAAAATTAGTGGATTGTATTGAGTTAGACCTAAAAAACACTAAAAATTATATGCAAGCTGTTCAAACATTTATCAGATTAATATAGAAATAATGATTAATAATAAAAACTTTAAATAACTTATATTCTTTTTTTTTAAGATTACCAGAAATTAAAAAATACCTTGAAAAGTATGTAATTCCTCTTCCAGCTGACTTTCCAGGACAACTATTTATAAGAAGAGTAATTGTAAACAAATTGGAATCTGAGTCTGAATTATTCATTCTAAAAGAAATAACACCCCTTATTCTATTTCTGGGGCCTCTTCACGTCTCACTCAACACACGTGAATCAGTATTTATTACATTTCACCCATTTTTTAATTGCATGTACAAATCAATTTTTGGAAAGACAAAAAAACTGGCGGCAAAACCTAAACCATAAAGAATTAATTTATTATTATATTTAGCACATGAAGGCTGATTCTTAATAAAAAAATATATTGTAAAAAAATTCAGAGTGTCTAAAGATACATCATATATTACCTTTCTTGACCTATTGGATAATCTGGTACCAGCAACTCTGGATATCTACACTTGTTTATTTCGAATGAACCAATTTGAAGAATATATTGACACAATATTTTGATTATGGACTACAATGCGATGATTTCATAGGCGTAATTATAATAAAATAATGTTAGCATTTCTATCAGACATTTATTATTGGAAAGTGATTCAACATCCAATAATAAATACTTTGAAAACACATTTAAACATTTTTGATGAATACCCAGTAGAAAATTTCCATAGTTTATTACGTCGACATACCAGTGCAAAAGTATCTACTGAAAAATCATTGAGACAGGATGCTTTGTTTCTAGATTATTGCTAGCATGAAAATTCATTCGTAAAATCTTTTAAGCTAAAGCATGATTATCCCTATTCCAAAAAAGATCTTGATGATTTAGTTAAATTATCAGCTATATTTCATCTAGATTTTTTTGATAACTTATACCAAAATCCTAATAAAGCAGAGTTAAAAACAGAAGGAAAAAGAATTAAAAAGGATTATTCTTACTTTTCTGGTATTAAAACACAATTTTCTTCTAGTGTTTTGCCATTAGGATATCACTCAAAATATCGGCCAGTAGTTAGTAAACTATGTGATCGTCCAGAATGCATAGATCTGTCATGGAATGATGGTCAGGTGTTAATTTGCAGACACAGATATCATGAAACTTGTTTTTACATTTTAAGATTACGTTGCCCACATTGCTTTGACTACCTTTCTGGCTCAATTGATGAATTATCAAAGTCATACAATCACAGGTTACAATTGAGTGAAGAAATTGATAGTTGGACAGATTCTCAGGTGCAAGATAATAATGATAATGAGTTAGGTAATGTCGAAACTATATCAAAACAAATTGGAATTGATATAGAATTAAAGGAAAAGATATCTGGTAAGTTGAACCATTTATCTTTTAGTTTCAATTTAATCTTATGATTATTACAAAATTTCAAAAGAATTTGTTGAAAATTACGTACAGTCAACTCTTGATATAGCGAACTCTTGATATAATGAATTTTTTGAACAAATATAATAAAAATACTCTTGTTATAGCGAATTGGCCAATCAAATCTCTTAAAATCTTTACTATAGCCTTATAGCGAAGTTGAGGTCTAAGACATAGAGTTCGTTATAACAAGAGTTGACTGTACTGGTCGAAAGAATTGAATTGTCACCAATCTCTGGTTTAACACTGAAGGATATTACAAATGTAACCAATTTTAAATAGTTCTAAAGTGTTCTATACTGCTTATATACTGCACCTTGATTTAAATTAGACTTTAACTTTTATTATTTGTGAAATTTTTGGTTGTTTTTTATTTTTTTTATTAAATTGTAAAAAAAATATTTTACTTCAGCAATTTTTTATATTGTGTTACAATAAATTTTATTGGTTGATTATTATTGATCATCACGTGAAATTAAGCCAATAAACGGATTTTTAACTATGCTGTTACAATCTTAGAGCGGTCAAGAATATACTGATATACTCTTACTCCATTATCATGTAAACGTGTCTGATTAATACTAATTAATGAAAATTTCTTACTAGCGACCTTACTAGTTAATGGCTTTTTCCTATTAGATCTGCACCATTCAAGATAATCCTGATATACTTTTTTACAGCCAAACATGTTAATCTGATTTTCAGGCCAAGTTGTAATATAATCAATTATAAATTGAATAGGATTAGGAAATTGCTCTTGCATTGTTTCTATCTTCATATTAGTTGCAGAAATTTTTCCTGGACTCTAATTTGATAAATTACGACTAAGGAGATATGACATGACTACTCCAGGTGCATTAGGATGGTTTAAAATATCCCCTAACTGGTCAAAATATAGTATGGTGCAGATCATCTATAAATAGAAATAAAATTGTATGACTTTAAAATCCTAAAACTTTTATTTACATAATATAAAAAAAAACAATCTGTAATAATGATAATATAGACAATAGAGAATAAAAGTTACAGCTTCAAATATTTAGTTGATTAGAAATTTTTTGAGCCTTAGGTGTTTGAAAATTGGTAATTTTCCTATAAAATATTTAAATTTTGAACTTGTGATTTATCATGTGACAATGATTTTGTCCAATAAAATGAAATTGATCACGTGAAAATTTGTAACATGATGATAATGACGATGATAAATTTTAATTTATAGGTTGAATGGACTTTTTTTTTAAAAAATTTTTCCAGTATGCCCTGACTTAATAAAAGAAAAGCTGCACTAAAAAACGCAACCCAGAATAAAATAGGAAAATTTTCTATAGAACTTGAGTAAGTTTATAAATCGTTCAACCTATTTATAAGAATTATTTAAATAAATTTATTTTTATTTTAGAATTGAGAGTGATACAGAAGAGAACATATTAGAGGAACAATTAGAAACAGGTTTAGATGATACTTTTAGTGAAAATGATTGGGAAAATGATGAGGTAAGTGATTGGGAAAGTGATACTGATTTGGAAGCAGAACAAGATATGCAGGATAGACTTTTGAAGGTAAATTTTGGATTAAAGTGAAAACCAGATACAAAGTTAAAAATAGAAAAACACGGTCCTTATAAAATGGGTAAGACACCAAAATTAACTTATTATGACAAATGGGGACCTAGCGGCTTGTGGACAGAAGCAGCAAAGGGAACTCGAAAATTAGAAAGCTTTTTTAATCTGCAAGATGAATCAATGCAAGAAGGTTCTCAAGATATTTTATCAGATGAAGAGGAAGCCTTTATGTTTGTCCAGCCATCAGAAAACATAGTTTTAAGTTTAGAAAAGGATTTAAAGGAAAACTTTAATGGAATGTTGGTAAAAGAGTATGTTATAAAAGGGCTATATTTGAATATCTTAAACATTTATTAAAAGGAAAGAAAAAAATGAAGGCAAGTATAGATGCGGTAAATATAGTATATAATAGTAATAGTAAATCAACAGCTACTTGGATTCGAAAAACAGCAAAGTATTAATGCATTAATAATACTCTACCTACATCTCATTAAGGAAAATATCAGAAGATCAGTAGAATTATTGATGATGAAGATATTGCTAAAATATGTCATAAATGGATTTGAGAAAATGAAAGTTATACAACTCCACATCAGTTTAAGGAGTTTGTTTAGGATATATTGTTACTGAAAGCAGGTATTAATAAAAATGTGATTAGTATAAGTACTGCAAGACAATGGTTAAATGTGCTTGGATATCATTATCAACAACAAAAACAAGGAATATATTATGATGAACATGAGAGAGAAGATGTTGTGGAATATCAAAAAGTATTTTTATCAAAAATGGCTGAACTTAAAAAATACATAGCAACATATGAAGGAGATAATATGGAAAAAATTGCTCCTTTATTAACTTCAGAAGAGAAAGAGCATATATTAATAGTTTATGATAAATGCATTTTCTACTCAAATGATAGGAAACGCGAAACATAGGCTAAGTCAGGTGAGTTATCATTACGCAAAAAAGGTAATAGAAAATCAATTATGATAAGCGAATTTTTAACTGAAGCTTGTGGAAGACTTAAACTAACTGCTGAGCAAATTGAGAATTATCCTGATGTTTCAGAAGAAGCACGAGTATATTTAAAACTAGGAAAGAATGATGAAGGATATTAGACAGCTGAACATCTTATTGAACAGGTTGAATATAAAGCCATTCCTATATTTAAGGTTTTATTTCCAAATTGTATTGAAGTATTTGCTTTTGATAATAGTTCAAATCATTCTGCATTTGCTTCTGATGTATTGGTTGTAAAGAAAATGAATATCGAACCTGGTGGAAATGCACATAAAATGCATGATACCTTTTGGGGTCCAAATAATGAAAGACAAAGTATGAATTTTCCTGATGGTCGACCAAAAGATGTAAAACAAGTTTTGATTGAACAAGAATTGTGGAAAAAAATATGGTAGGAGAATGCAAGTTATGTAAAAACAAAAATGATGATCCTCTACGTATAGATTATTGTGAAAGACGGATTTTATCTCTTCAACCAGATTTTTTAGCTCAAAAATCTACATTAGTTGAAATAATTGAAAATGCTGGTCATGTTTGTATATTTTTTCCAAAGTTTCATTGTAAATTGAACTTCATTGAACGCTATTGGAGAGCAGCAAAATGACATATATGAAATAATTGTGATTACACATGGAGTGAATTACAAAAAATAGTTCCTTGTGCTTTAGATTCTGTAGATTTAACAACTATTCGTAGATTTGCAAGAAAAATATGGCGATATATGGATTTATATAGGTATAGAATTATAGGTAAATTAGCAGAATATGCTGTTAAAAAATACAAATTACATAGAAAAATTTCTGAAAATGTATTAGAGGAATTAAATAAAATAAATTAATAAATTTCATTTATTTTAATACAAAAAATTTAATAAATTAAAACTCAATAAATTAATGATTTAATATTTAATCATGTGACAATTTTAATTCACGTGATGATTTTTAATTGGATAAAGATTACGTGACGAGTCTGTGATCAGCAAAAAAAAATTCAGACTGTTTGCCTTTTAGATGACCTGCACCATAGCAAATTTGAGCTATAATTAAAGCAAAAAGAGGCCTAACTAAGTATTAGTTACTTAATATAAAACTTATTTAACTTAATCTCCTAAAATACCAGTAGGTTATTTATAAGAGATTTTGGTTTTCAAAACTGTATTATCATTATGTTTAAATTTTTAAGATAAAGTAATTTATCATTTAAAGAGTTAAGAAAATTATAAATAGTAAGATTAATTTTAATGATTCTATATATAAAATACAGATTAAGAAATCCCTTTTGAAAAACTACCCCAAGGTCGCCAGCACTTTTTTCATCCCACGTGATTTATGGCCGGCATTAAATTATCCGGGTGACAAATAAGGTGACAAATAGGAGTTGGGAAGATCACTTTGAAATTTCGGACCGTCATTCGTGTAATTTTCCATTCATTCATCAAAACAAATAACCTTTTTTACAGACATAATGGAAATTGATTCCAACATGAGTTGGGTTCTCCCAAATTATCTAAAGGATAAGGTTGACAGTCTTTTCTTTATAAGTAGGTGGAACGACTGGCGCCTTATCGAATTTCTTGAATTTAAGAAAAGTGACATCCTGGCTGGTCTTTCAAAGGTATCCATATAAGAAAGATCTAGAACTGATCTTGGATTCAGTTCCACCCGAAGACATCTCCATTTCCATTAAGAAACAGCTATCTCCAAATATGCTGGAAAGTGAAGATGTCAAAACGTTCTGGAAGAATATGGAACGGTTAACTATTCTTGGAGCAAGTGCTTCATTTGAAAGTGTAGGTCTCTGTGCTCTGCATCTTTTTTTTTTTTGATTACTATTGAAACATTTCTTTTAGAATGTTCTCAAGGTTCGTATGAGAAGATTCTGTGAAGAAATTGATGATATGATCGAACGTGAGGCGAAAATTAATGAAATGAATGAATGTACTAGTATACTAAAAAAAAAAAATTAGATATACAAATTTGTGACTGCGTTTGATCGAAAAACCATCCCATAATGTATAAATAATATAGTAAGTGCACATATTTCATAACTATTAAAAGAATAAATTTTATTCTAATTTTACTCTCTTTTTATTTCCTTTCGTTTCTTGTATTTTCTTTTGTTTAAATGAAGTTATACTATTACTTGTAGCTGCATAATTCTCGCCTCCACTTTGTAAAACATCTCGTTCGTTTTTTTGTTCCTTCCAATCAACTGGATTTTTACGTAATTGGTTTGTAGTATATAGATCAGGAAGGTTTTCAACTTTGTAAATGACGAGAGAAGTTAGAAAACAAATATTAAAAGAAATTACTCGAAATAAGCTTACTCACCTGTCATCGTTCCATATTTATTAATCTGTTTAATTAATGGATGATCTTCTGAAACTTCCTCATACTTTATAAAAAAAAGTTCAAATTAGATTCTCGTAGATCATATTAATTATTAAAAAAATTTTATACCTCACTTCCACTATTCTTAAATACTGTTATTAAACTTCTATTTTGTTCTTCCTTTATAAACTTCGCAACCCATAGATTACCACCAATGTCATAAGCTAAATCTAATGGATCAATGGATAAAGTTAATGTTTGGAGATATTGAAGTCTCTTTTCTTTTTCATTCCAATTAAATATTACAATTCCAGGAAATCTATTTGAATAGAAAAGTTTTCTTATTAAATAAATAATTTGTATGGATTCGCATTTATGTGTAATTTCCAATATTCTTACTTTTCAATCGTTAGAGCTATATGATGTGATATTGGGCTACTTGTAATGGATGTAACGGCAATTTCTAATGAATCTTCATCCATTGCTTCTTTATTATCATCACTTTTCTATAAATAATAAATATTATAAAGCATGACTAGCTTTCAAAGAAAAATTATAGAAAAAAAGATATATATTGTATATTACCTTATCACCAATAATTTCTTTAATATTAACGGTTTGTAATAATCTTCCGGGAACATAATCCCACAATGCTATAAAATCATCACCACCAGCTGATACCAACAATTCCTTTGCCCATGGCAATATATGTATTTTAGATACGAACCTAATATAATATGCACGGAAATAGCTCTTAAGTTGTGCTGAATAAGATTGATCTTTGAAAAGAACGTACTTACTGGTTATGGCCAAGACAATAAGATTCAATGTTATATCCTTTTGGAAATCTACTTATACGTATATGTTCATCGCGATCACACGTGATAACATATCTATTATTTGGTGTTATGGTCTTATTTATAAATTAAAAGAATGATCGATTATTGAAAATCCTTACATAAAAAGATCTTTATATGATATTTACCATATCAGTGACCATTGATACATGTCCTAATAGCAGAGTTGAAACATTTTGTTTTTCTTCAGGCGGATCTAACGGGTAACTATATACATCACCAAACTTATCTGCGGTCACAATTTGTGATCCATCTTTATTAAAAGAGATAGCCATAACGCGTTTTGGCACGGGTCTATAACATCATAAAGAAATAAATTCTTAGAAAAGAAGATAATTTCTAAGAAATTTGCATATACCTTGTACTTCTCAATTTCCATTTATCGCAGTCCCAGACTTTTAATATTTTATTCTCGTCACTTGTAGCCAATAATGCCGATGGGTTCAAAGAGGATGATATATTAGAATCCTTTCGCTCATGAAATGCTAATGTTCTTATTGTAACTTGATGAGTGTCACTAGAAGGAATCGTATACTTTGGCTGTATTGAATCAAGTTCGATGTTGCTAACGAATGTGTTGGTATTATTATTATCGGAAGAAGAAGTGGAAACTAATGATCGAGTTGTTGATATCAATGCACCTGTGCTATATTTATGTTAATAATTTGTTAAAAAAATTGTAAAAAAAAAGAGAATAATTGTGTAAAAGTACCTTGTGTCTAATGCATGAAAATGTGAACCAAATACGAGAATTAATAAATTTCTTGTAGGATGATGTAATAATTTAGTAAATGGTAATCTATGTGCCATTATATTTCAAAGAAGAGAGAGTCGATGATGTTTTAATCTAATATTTTTTGTGTGATCGTTAATCAAAGAAAATCAGTTCCTTTTTCGGAGTAAAAGTAGTTATAATAAAATTAAAAGTTTTTTTTTTTTTTTTTGACACTTTCTTCATATATAATATGGAAAATGCAAAAGGCATACACATGAAACAAGCACTTTTGGTATATATAGAAATACTAATATCTTAATTTTTTTTTTTATTTACATTTAGGCGGATGGAATTATTTATAACCTATTTTTCTTTTTATATTTATATTTAGGCGGGTGGAATAGCAGGAACAGCAGTAGACACGATTTTATATCCTTTAGATACAATTAAAACTAGATTACAATCTAAATCAGGATTTAAAGCCTCAGGAGGATTTCGTGGAATTTATTCTGGATTAACAAGTGCTATAATTGGTAGTGCTCCAGGAGGTTAATATCTATTATTTATTATTATTTATTTATTATTTATTCAGATTCTAAAAAAAGAATTTTTAAAAAAAAAAAATTAAAGCATCAGCATTTTTTGTTACATATGAGTATTCAAAGAATATATTAGGAAATATATTTCCTGATAATAAATATTTACCATTTATTCATATGATTTCTGCATCAAGTGGTGAAGTTGTAAGTATATTATTTTTAATTTATAATAATAAAATTAGATTTTTTTTTAATATTATATATAAATTTAAAAGGCAGCATGTATCATAAGAGTTCCAACTGAAGTAGTTAAGCAACGTATGCAAACAAAACAATATGCTTCAACTTCTTCTGCATTAAAAATTATTTTTAAGCAAGAAGGATTAAATGGATTTTATCGTGGATATTTTAATACTGTAATTCGTGAGGTAAATTAAATATTAAAAAAAAATTATTTTGAAAAATAAATAAATTAATTTTATTTTTTTAATTATAGATACCTTTTACTTGTTTTCAATTTCCACTTTATGAATATTTAAAAATTTTAGTAGCAAATAATACTAAAAGAGATCATATTGAACCATGGGAAGCAGCAATCTGTGGTAGTATATCTGGTGGTTTTGCAGCTGCAATTACTACTCCATTAGATGTTATAAAAACACGTATTATGTTATCTTCTAATGTAATATATATATATATATTTTTAATTATTAAAAATTATTATTTATTCTAAACTTTATAAATTTTTTTTATAGCATCAAACTATACATAATTATTCTGGTACAATTAATACGTTTAATAGAATTTTACATGAAGAAGGATTTAAACATTTATTTTCTGGTATTGGACCAAGAGTTATTTGGATGAGTATAGGTGGATATATTTTTTTAGGAGCTTATGAAAAAACAAAAAAAATTTTATATAAATATAATTAATAAAATAATAACCTAAAAAATTTTATATAAATGATTAATTATATATTTTTTATAAAAATTTATTTATAAAAATTAACTTATTAAATAAATATTTTTTTTAATTTTAATTTTTAAATATTAATACATATAATATTTAATTAATTATAAATTAAAAATAATTATATTTTATAATTAGTTATAATTAGTTATGACTATTTAAAATAATTATAATTTTATTTTCATTTTTAAATTCATTAAATTAAATTATTTACAAATTAAAAATATGTATTTTTTTTAATAACATTAATTTAAATATAATTATTATATAAAATATAGTTTAAATATATATTTATTAATTTTATTAATAACATAAATAAATGTAAGTTATTTTTCATTTGATAAGAATATCTCTAAATTAAAAGTATATATAAATCAATTACTATAATAAATATTGTATCTTATAACTAATATAGACTATCATTTTATTGATGATATTTGAAAAACCAATAGCTTTATTATTAAAAAGTTTATTTAATATAATGAGCTATTCTTCATAAGTAGAGTTCTGAACAAGTCGAGTTAACTCACGAGTCAGATAAGCTGAGTCGAGTTTAAATCAAGTTGAGTTTATGTTTTTTTGACTTGATGATTTGTGAGTCAAGTCAAATTCAAGTCGAGTTAAATATTTAACTCGACTCGATTTAAACTCAACTTGATTTGAGTTGACTCGAGTTGACTTGAACGATAAAAAAAATCATTCAAGAAGAACGATAACAAATCATTCGATTTGAATGATAAAAAAAATCATTCAAGAAGAACGATAATGAATCGTTTGACTTGAATGATAAAAAAAATCATTTAAGAAGAACGATGATAAATCGTTTGACTTGAACGATAAAAAAAAATCATTCAAAAAGAACAATGATGAATCGTTTGACTTGAATGATAAAAAATCGTTCAAGAAGAACAATGACAAATTGTTCAACTTGAACAATAAAAAAATCGTTCAAGAAAAATGATGACGAATCGTTCGACTTGAACGATAAAAAAAAACATTCAATAAGAATGATAATGAATCGTTCAATTTGAATAATAAAAAAATTGTTCAAGAAGAACGATGATGAATCATTCGCTTCTCTCCCCTTACGATCTTTTCATTTTTTTTTTTTTTATTTTTTTATTTTATTTTTTTATTAATTAAATGTTTATAAAAAAATTTAAAATTGACTCATAACTTAATTTGAACTTGACTTAATTTGAATAAATTCAAGTTAAAATTGAATCGAGTTAAAATCGAGTTGAGTTAAATTGAGTCGAACTTAAAATTTATATAATTCGAATCAAATCAAATTGAAAGATTTTATAAAATAAATTTGACTCAACTCAATTCGAAAAAAATGAGTTGAATAGAGTTGGTCTTTAAACTCGACTTGACTCAACTCATTCGAAACTCTATTCATAAATAAGAGATTATAACAATTCTTATACTATTTGTTATCTATATAATCTTTAAAATAATATTGTAATTTTATCTTTAAAGTATAAGACAGACAGTAATAGAAGGTAAAATAAATTTTTGAAAATGATTGACAGTAGCATTTTTGAATTTAT